TTTCCAACCCTGGCACCCCAAGGCATTTCTGAGACCTCGAAATATAGACCCAGGGCCGTGTTTTCCAGGAAATCTTCTGAACAGTGGGACTGGTGGCCAACTGACTACCCAGGATCTCTAGATTCATTCTCAGAGCTACCAAGAGGTATGGGCAAAATGGCTGAATTTGAATATTTAGAAAGCCAGAATCAACACTAGGCCCTTGGAGGAGGGCATGAGAGATGATGAAAATCTTCTGATATCAAATCACAACTGGGAGTTCCATCAGGATGAGCAATCACCTTAAATTAGGCTAAAGAGTCTGACTGGTGATGTCAACATTGAAGACAGTCTTGGGCTCTTAACCGTATGAATGTCCTAGCTTTGCACTTCCACATCTATCCACACACTCACGTAATTCTCCCCAAATTCCAGAGCTCTGTCCTGCCCCTCTCATCTGTTGCTTCCACTCTCATGTACACAGATGGTTTCCAACCCTGAACCATTTCATGAGCTTTTGGTTTGATTAGGGTCTCTAAGTGTGTAGCCAGAATGATACAGATATCACCATCTGTCAGAGGTTGGCTTAGCCTCAGGGAGAAGGAGGGGCCTCAGGGCTCATTTGCATGGGAGTTTTGGCAGGGGTGGAAGGGGGGAGGCAGGGAGGGCATAAGAGTACAGCATTTGAGTGCTATTTGAACAGAGGGTGCAGATTTGGGCATCAGAGTTCATTCATTCTTTGAACAATGCGCACTTACTGAGCTCATATATAAGCAAGGCACTGATGGTATAGAATGCGAGAGCAATAGTCCTTTTGCTCTCAGGGAGCTCCCAGTCTGTGGTGAGGCAAGAGCTGATGGAGCCTAAAGAAATCAGTTCTTAAAAGGCAGGTGTAAAGATTAGTGATGTGCAAGGGGAGGTAAGTCCTACAAGGAGACTTTTGTATCTCTTAGGAGTGGGACAAAATTGCCAACAAACCCACTTCATTCTGTGAGTGCTCCAAGGCTGGGAGCAGGTCTTGCTGATCTTCGTTTTCCCAACACAAGAAGTGCTCAGTGAGTATTTGTTGAAGCAATAAATGAATGTATAGAGAGTTGAATGGAGCAACTAGCTGCTTCTTAGGGGTGGCAGAAAGTCTTCTTAAAGACCACCACCTTTAAACAACGTTTGGAAGTATGACTAGGCCTTTGCCAAGCAGATAAGACAAGGAAGGGATTCTGGGCAGAGGGAACAGTGGGGTAAAATGCACAAAGGAGGCATCAAAGAACAGGGAGTGTTTGGCTGATGTCCAATGCATGTTGGTCAACCACAGGGAATGGAGAAGTTGGAGAGAGGGCCGGGGCCTCGTTGAGCAGAGCCTCAGAAGTCATTCTTAAGGGTTGAGGCTTTGCAAATTATGGGAAGCGGTAGAATTAAAGGGATTTTTAAAAAAAAGATTTTATTTATTTATTTGACAGAGAAAGAGAGAGAGAGACAGCAAGAGAGGGAATACGAACAGGGGGAGTGGGAGAGGGAGAAGCAGATTCCCCGCTCAGCAGGGAGCCCGATGCGGGACTCGATCCCAGGACGCTGGGATCATGACCTGAGCCGAAGGCAGACGCTTAATGACTGAGCCACCCAGGCGCCCCGAATTTAAGGGATTTAGGTAGGGTAGCAATGTGACCATTCTGTGTGTGAGCTGAAGCAGGGGTACTACTGAGGAGCATGTTCAGGACCTCTCTTCTAAAGTTTTAAGAATACTATTTACCTGTGACTTCAGGGCTATTAATGCTGGAGGCCCTTTGAGGTCATCTAACCCAGCCCTTCCATTCCATGCATGGGAAACCCCATGGCGCAGGGAAGCAAATTGTCCGCGGTCTCATGGCACAGTGAGGACTAGACTCCAGGCCTCCGGGCTCCCAGTCTGGTTTCCTCTCTACAGAGAGATCTGGGCTCGAGGCTGAGCCCTGCTCTCCCCCTACAGTGCAACCTTAAGCAAGTTACCTAACTGCAGTTTTGTCATCGGGCACGTGGAGATAACATCATTTCCTTTTTGGGGTTGCTGTGGGGGGTTAAATGAAATAATGCATGTCAAGTGCCTTGGTTGTTTGACGCCTGGCAGGTGGTGTGTGCTCAGTTAGAAGTGACTGGTATTATTCCTCCCTTCTAGGGTCTGTCTCCACTCCAGTGTGTCATCCCGTTGCTTGTCTCTGGTGGTGGTGGTGGTCCTGGGATCCTGCAGGACTCCCACCATAGCTGAGCTCATCAAAAGATCATTTCCCAGGCTGTCCGGTAAGTCAGGCGCATACCCTGGCTTCACTGGGTTTAGGGCAAATACTGATTTTAAAACAGTCATCTTCAGTCTGGGTTACAGCGCAATAATGTGCTCTTTTGGAATAAAAAAATGAAAAGATATTGAAGGAGGTATGTATATACTTGGCACGGGTGGAGTGATTTTTACCATGCCAAAGGACCTCCCCATTCACAAAGAGATTCATGGTAGGGGTCCTTTAAATCACCAGTTCCTCTTCGTGCTCTCACGCAGGAGTCAATTTCCCTAGTGTGATTCACACCAACTGTCCAGGAAAGGGCCTCCTGCTCCCATAGTCTTGTCACCCCTGGCCTTCTCGCAAGATTCCCTTGAGCTTTGAGCTGAAGCAGCCGAATTCTGGAACGGGGGACACTGTAGCCAAGGCAGACTGTAGGAGGCACCATGATTTTATATGCCACCAAGGAAGAAATAGCACTGCTAATTTTAGCTATAAGATGCCATTGATTGAGAAACAAATCCCGATTTCAGAAATGTTAAAATGTGAAAAAAAAATACAGTTGACTCTTGAACAAGACAGGTGTGTGCACTTACATGTGGATTTTTTTTTGATATATATAGTACAATGCGGTAAATGTATTTTTCTCTTCCCATGATTTTCTTAACATGTTCTTTGTTCTAGCTTACTTTCTTGTAAGACTATGGTATATAATCCAAATAACATACAAAATATGTGTTAATTGACTTTGTTATTGGTAAGGCTTCTGGTCAACAGTAGGCTATTATTAATTCAGTTTCTGGGGAGTCAAAACCCCTAATTGACTTAGGTGCCCCCAAGCCCCACGTTGTTCAAAAGTCAGCTATACTTCCTGGAATCACTGAAATGCAGTGTTTGAGAACCAGGGTCAGCTGGATACTAATGGCAGAATGAGAACACACAAATGGGACCAATCCCCAAGTTATACTTGGCTTCACGTTATATTATTGTTTTTTGTTTGGGAAAGAAACCACTAATTTGTAAGCTCTGCGGGATAGACCCTGGGTGTCTTTTGTTCGCCACTGTATCTCCATGACCTCGTTCATAGTTGGGGTTCAACAAATATTTGCTGAATGAATAAAAAAATAAAGAGCCATGTTATAAAACATGTGGAAAACCCAGAAAAGAAAATAAATCATTCACAATTCCCCTACTGTGGGTATTTTGGCTTATTTCCTGTGAGTCTTATTTCCTATGAATATGCTCTTTTATATACATGTAAACATAATTTATTATTAGATTTAGCTCTGGGATGTTTTTGTATTTCTCTATTAATATGAATGAAATGATGAAATGAGATGATGCAGAAATGCTTTGAAGATTTGTAAAATGTTTAACCAGATATCTTATTATTAGTTATAATACTCCTAGGAAGGCTGCTCTGAATGAGGCTGATTTTCTGAGAACACACTTCAAAGCAAACAATAAATTTCTTCTCTGAAGCCTGGAATGGGCTGTCCCTGCATCCTGCTCACCGTGGGGGAGTCCCTCGGTTTCCTTTTGGGAGGAGAAAGAGACTCAAGGGTTCTTAGAAGTCCTGAGCTCCAGCTTCCCACTCAGTCCAGAAATTTCTTTAGTGTCGCTCATGAAGGGCAAGTCCCTGCCCAAGAAAATTCAAGCCTGTCAAAAGAATTTACTATCTGCTCCAGCCAACACCTAAAGATCTGGCTTCTGTCCCCTTGTCTTTGTGGGCAGATAGGAGCCTAACTCTGACAAGTGCCAGTTAGCAAAACCCAGGTGGGTTTCTCATGGACCAGTCCCCCCTTCCTGCTTTCTGCCATTTTCCACTTCCCTGACTCCGCTCCAGGCCTTTCTGTTCCCCTCCCTTCCCCTCACGTTTCCATTAAGATGCCCAGCCACCTCTGTGAAAATGGAAGTTGAGTTCCGTTCATGCTGAACCCTTGTTCCTACTGCAAGGGTATATTTTTGATTAAAATCTGTCCTTGTCACTTTAACGAGTGTCTGGCTTTGCTTACTGTAGGCCGTACTCAAAAGCCCATGAGGCTAATAGCTTGGGTTCTGGGCTCACCAGGGCTGCCTGTCTGTCTGCATGCCTTGACTTGTTAGTCTGTGTTCTCGACCTTCTTGACTCAAATCCTCAGCCCTGAACTTGGCTCCCTGCCATCTGCTTCATGACCTCCTTCTTTGTCCTTAAAGATGAGGTTTTCTGGCTGTGCCACTTGTTCCCCACCTGGCACACCCTTGCGTGCTCATTTCTGATCTCCCCCCCTGCCTCATCCTCCAGGGCCTGTGGACGCCAGCCAGCCTTCCAGCCTCCTCTGCCACTGCCTCAAAGCCCATATCCCACCCACTGTGTGCTACAGTGGAGGTGGATCTTGGCCCTCAGCAAGTACTCAGGCATTAAGTACAGGGAACAGTTTGGGAAGCCCACAGTATCAAAGCTTTCCTATAGATTTAGAAGGTTCTAGACCCCCACCCCCACCAAAGGTTCTGGAAAAAACCCTCATCCAATTCGGTGAAAAAGAAAGGAAGCTGGGTTTCTCTCACACCCAATTTTAGGAACCGACAGGTGGTATGGGAGAATTGGGTTACAGAGTTTAGCTGATACCTTTCTCCAATTTCTAGGTGAGCCCCTGTCTCAAGGCCAACACCACTCAGGCCTCTTGAGTGGACTCAGAGCCTTCCAAAAGTGGGAGTCCCATTTCCCCTCCTCATGCCTCTGCAGGTGGCCGGTGTAGGCCTGGGACCACTGGTCCCGGAAGCCCAGAAACTTACCCTCTGCTCCTGGGTGGCCACGAAAGTCTGGAACCCTGGAGCCACCCCAAAGCCCAGTTCTTGGATGAAAGGCGGCTCAGATTGACTGTGGATCTGAACTTTCACTCCTGCTTCAAATGTCGTTTCCTCTGAAAGGACAAAGATAGAGCCATGGGTCAGCGACAGCAGATGCTCACAGACTCCTGGGATTGAGAAGCTCAAAGGGACGTTAGAAAGGCCACGTGAGGGGCAGCATCATGGCCTGCAAAGGCATCCACGTCCTCATCCCTGGAAACTATGAAGATGCCACTTTGCACGGCAGAAGAGACACCGCAGATGGGATTAAGGTAGGGACCTGGAGATGGGAGGTTATCCTGGATTATCCGGGCAGCCCGATGTCATCACAAGGGTCCTCGTGGGAGGGAGGCAGGAGGGTCAGAGTCAGAGAGAGAATGGAAGAAAGCTTGGTTGCTGGATCTGGACACGGAGGGAGGAGCCACAAGCCAGGGGATGCAGGCAGCTGCTAGTCACTGGACAAGGCGAGGGGATGGATTCCGCCCCCCCCCCCTACCCTGGAGCCTCCCCAAGGAATGCAGCCCTGCCAACACCTAGATTTTGGCCCCGTGAGACCAAGTTTTGGACTTCTGGCCTCCAGAACTATAACAGAATAAATCTGTGTTGTTTGAAGCCACTAAGTTTGTGGCATCTGTTACAGTAGCTGTCAGAAGCGAATGCGATTAGGAAGTGGGTCAAGCTAGTGAATACTAGCTTCTCTCCTGGGCCCTGAGCTGAGGTCAAGGGGGTCAGGAGGGGAGCAGACCATGGATGACACAGCAGTAGAAATGAAAATAGAGGACTTGCTTGTACGCTAAGATGCCCGGGGCCCCTTGGAGCTGCAGGAGATGGGCAACCAGAAGAGAAGCTTCTGCTTCTCTTTCACTTGGCAAGAGAAATGGACCTTGGCAGTGGGAGGTGGCAAGTGTGGTGGAAGGTGATGGGGTGGCAGAGCCTGGCTCATCCTAAACGTTCACAATTGGTGGCGAAGGCACCTGTGGGATATATGAGCCTTTCCTGGGTCTCCTCTGTCTTACTCTTTCCAAACAGCCTGCAGAGGGAGCTTTCCAGCACGCAAACCTGCACCACTCTCTCCCATGCTGATAAGGAGCCTCCTTAACCTGCCCCCGTTTGTTTCCAGCCTTGCTCGGGGCAGCCTTCTGCTTCATGACGCCAGGTGGTCCAGCCCTCCCCGGGCTGCCCAGATTGGTTGTTACTGGTCTCTGCGCTGCATGGATGCACATGCATTTCCTTCTGCCTGGAATGCCTTTCAACCTTGTTCACCGGACCCATCTCCCTACTCGTCACTGAAGACTCAGCTCCCAGCCCCACCCAAAGCAAACCTGTCTCTTGTTCTGTTGTATTCTTGACATATATGCCTGATGAAGCTTCTGCCACACCAGGCACTAATCCTTTATCTGACAGCCTCGTCCACCAGGCTGGAGTATCCTGAGGCCAAGTTCTGGGCTGTGTCCCTGGATCTCAAAGGTCCTGCGCAGGTCCAGGCCATATGGCAGGCACTCAGGCAACAACGCCCGCTGAGTGAACAAGGGATTTGTGACTCAAACCTCACTCAGTTATTAACGGACAAGGCCAATCTAGAGTCCAAATCAAGGAGTGTTCTCAAAGAAGGGAGTGGGGAGAGGATGGGTGAATGCAGGAAAGGGGGAAGATGGAGTGGGGGAGAAATGGAGGTCGAGGTCAGGGAGGGAGGGAGGTGTTAGCACCGGACCATAGTCTGGGGATGAACACTGCCAGGAAGGAAGGGCTGGGGCCAGGCACGGGAATGGGCGAGACCCACAGACAGCCGGGTGGCCAGTGACGGAGGCAGGGGGAGGGGATCGGAGCTGGGTGAGAATTCCAAGGTAGGGGTACATGGGCAGAAGGGCTCAGTAGGCACACAGGGAATAGCAGGAAGGATAGGCAGGGGTTCCAGAGTCCAGACTTGGAGCCCAGTGGCTGACATGGGGTTTAGGGAGAGGAGACCCTCCGCCAGGGATCCTCTCCTAAGGTATTAGAGGAACGGGAGAGGATCCCAGGCAAGCCACAAACACACTCCCTTCCCCCCAGCAGTCAAGGGTTCTGCTAGTTCTTTACCCAGATTGTCCGTGGGCAGCCTGCTGCCTGAATGTCCCGGGATGCCTGTGGTTTGGGGCCCGTCTCTCCTGTGGATGGTGAACGCTGCAGAGAAGAGAGCTCCCCTTATTCCTCCCAGTGCCGCACAGGTGCATCGGGGAAGGGGACTGCGGGGGACAGAAGGTGGATGGGAAGGGGAGGGGTGAGCCTGCCCAGGGGAGGGGTTGAGGAGAGGTCAGGAGCCTGAAGAACAGGCTCGGTTGGGGGAGGAGCGAGGGTGGCGTGATGCTGGGATCACAGGGATGCTCGTGCTCCCTGTGCACTCACTGAACGGAAGGCATGTTCAGTGAGCTGTGGGGGGTCGAATGGGAGAGATGCCAACATTTGTTTTCTGGAGCTCTCTGAAGCCATGTGCCTGCTGTATAACTGAGCTTAGGAGACCTGAGAGCCAGTAAGACAGGCTCAAAGGAGGGGACCTGTGGCTCACAGGGAGAAATGAAAAGTGAAGCCTTTCTGTCAGAAATGCTTCCAGTAATGGGCAAAGCAGACAGGCCTGGCATGCCTGCATTGTGAGACCCGCCCGAGGCCAGTCAGGCCAGGTTGGGATTTGAAGGGGAGTTTATTCCCCGAAGCAGCAGGGGCGGGGCGGAGTACATTTCTACATAATCTCCTATCATCACACATATCCAGCCACCAGATGAGCACAAAAGAGAGTGATGGATAAGGTTTCCACTCTCTTTAGAGAACTTTCTGCCAAGATAGAATGTTCTAGAATCTGTGCTTTCCAACATAGGAGCCACTAACCACATCAAGTGTGACAAGTGCATCCAAGGAACTGAGATTCTAAATAATTAACTAATTAACTCCTCCCCCCAGCTTTTGAGATAAAGTATACAATGTGATGATTTGATATAGGTACACCTTATGAAAGGATTTCCCCATCAGATTAATTAATATATCTATCACTTCACCTACTTACCTTTTTTGTGCCTGCCTTATTTATTTTTTATTGAATTTAAATTTAATTAATTAACTTAAATTTAAATAGCCACATGTGGTTAGTGACAACTCAATGGGCAGTGCTGCTGGGGACTGTTAGCTGTGAGCAGACCCCAGATGTCTCAGAGCATCAGGGACAGCAAGGACGCCACCCCCCTGCTTTCCTAGGCAGGTGCCCCTGGGGGGTCTCTGGCCTGGAGGCCTTGGGTGATTTGGGTGGGGCTCTGGGCAAAGCAGGGCTGTGCGTCTTCATGGCAAGCCCACGGCTACCATCCCAGACCCTCTCTGGCCGGGTCTCCCCATAGCACCACTTACTCTCACATCTCCAGGTAGTTTGCTTCTCTTCCTTCATGGGACTGCGCTCGGCTGCCCTCTGTGGATCATTCTCCAGTCTGACTAGCGAACAGCCCCCTTCCAGTCTCTGCCCCATACCCACTAGCAGTCTCCTCCACGTCCTGGACATGGACACTATCAGTGTAATGACGAAGACCCAGTTTAAGAGCTGAAGTTATCCAACATAGACTGCTAGAGCCAAAGGCTCAGATGAGGAACCTCAGAGGTTCTCAAACTGGAAGGCTCATCGAAATCACACAGGGAGCTCTGGGTGAGGATTCTGGTGACCCACCCCTAGATCCAGTCACGCTGGGGTGGAGCCAGGCGTCTGCATTTCCAGAGATTCGGCTATAGGTTATCTGAGGCCAAATGCATGTGGGCAAGCAGAGATCTAGTCCAGAGAGGGGAAGTGACTTGCCCAAGATCACACAGCAAGTCAAGGGTAGAGTAGGGGCTGGAAGTTGTTAGGTCGCCTGACTTCCAATTCATTCCCCACCCTTTGGCAGCTGTGAGTCTGCCCAGGGTCTGGTTGGACACAGGGAAATGCCAGCACCGCATGCTGCCTGTCCACGTCGCAGGACTCCGGGGGTCTCTCCTGCTGAGATGCAGGTGGGCTGCACATAAAACCACAGCACCAGCAAATATAACAATAACAGTAACTGGGACCACCCACGCAATTTTTGGGGTCCCAGCACAAAATGAAAATGTGGGGCCCTTTATTAAAAAATTATTTCGAATTTCAAGGCAGCCACAGCAGAGCTAATTAAACCAAGAGTGTGGGCCTTCGGAGCACGGGGACCTGTGTGACCACACAGGTCGTGCATCGAAGGAGCCAGCCCTGACAATAACCCAGACTGACGTGGACAGAATTCTTCCCAGCCTCATATTCCCCTCACCACCAAATGATTTGACACTGAGCTGCTTCAGAGTGCGGGCCCCCAGTGCAATGAAGGATTTGTTTACTCATCATGAACACCAGGATTCAAAGCCCCCGAGAGAGAGAGAGAGAGAGAGAGAGAGAGAGAGCGAGCACAGAGAAAGGAAAAGTTACTACACACACAGTGTTGGGAGCCTTTGTTAATTGGGACCAAATATGAAAGAAAATTCGATCAGGAGGAAGGCGGTAAGGCGTGTTCAACCTGCAGAGGCCGGAATACCGTAGCCCTTTTCAGGAGCACAGCCATGGCCAGCTCAAGGTGAGGTCTACCTGTAGAGCGTTTTCTGTGCGCGCAGAAAGGATTTGGAACCTCTGTCGGAGGAGACGGGCGAGCCATGGGCAGAATGCATAATGGGGCCAGGAAAGTACATCGCAATAAAAGAAGCTTAAATCTTTAATCTTTGCAAATTACAGGAAACATGCCGAGGAAATAAACACGAGGGACGTAGGAAGGGAAGATTTACTGAAAAGCCGGAGGAATTTTCTAGGCTAAGGCAGGGACATGTTGATACAGAGCAACGTGTTGGCTGAAGCCGACTTTCTAACAGTGGCTAGGATAGCGAGCTGGAGGGGAGAGGGTAGGAGGGAGGCCAGCCACACGGGGACTCCGTGCAGGGCAGCCTTTCCTGGCCAGTCCTCCGCACTCTGCTCTCTGCCCTGGGAGCTGCAGACAGGACACACTGTCCTGATGGGCTCCCTTGCCCTCTGGCTTCCAGCTGGGTTCAGTAAGTGACGGGTCTGCAGGAAACT